CATGGGATTGAGGGTGATTTAGCGGTTTGGATCAGAAATTGGCAAGCTGTAGGAAGACAGAGGGTGGTGGTTGATGGGAAATGTTCATCCTGGAGTTCAGTTACTAGTGGTGTACCTCAAGGATCTGTTTTGGGGCCACTGCTGTTTGTCATTTTTATAAATGACCTGGATGAGGGCGTAGAAGGATGGGTTAGTAAATTTGCGGATGACACCAAAGTCGGTGGAGTTGTGGATAGTGCGGAAGGATGTTGCAGGTTACAGAGGGACATAGATAAGCTGCAGAGCTGGGCTGAGAGGTGGCAAATGGAGTTTAATGTGGAAAAGTGTGAGGTGATTCACTTTGGAAGGAGTAACAGGAATACAGAGTACTGGGCTAATGGTAAGATTCTTGGTAGTGTGGATGAGCAGAGAGATCTCGGTGTCCATGTGCATAGATCACTGAAAGTTGCCACCCAGGTTGACAGCGTTGTTAAGAAGGCGTACAGTGTGTTAGGTTTTATTGGTAGAGGGATTGAGTTTCGGAGTCATGAGGTCATGTTGCAGCTGTACAAAACTCTGGTGCGGCCGCACTTGGAGTATTGCGTACAGTTCGGGTCGCCGCATTATAGGAAGCATGTGGAAGCATTGGAAAGGGTGCAGAGGAGATTTACCAGGATGTTGCCTGGTATGGAGGGAAGGTCTTATGAGGAAAGGCTGAGGGACTTGAGGCTGTTTTCATTAGAGTGAAGAAGGTTAAGAGTGACTTAATAGAGACATACAAGATGATCAGAGGATTAGATAGGGTGGACAGTGAGAGCCTTTTTCCTCGGATGGTGATGGCTAGCACGAGGGGACATAGCTTTAAATTGAGGGGTGATAGATATAGGACAGATGTCAGAGGTAGGTTCTTTACTCAGAGAGTAGGAAGGGCGTGGAATGCCCTGCCTGCAACAGTAGTAGACTTGCCAACTTTAAGGGCATTTAAATGGTCATTGGATAAACATATGGATGATAATGGAATAGTGTAGGTTAGACGGGCTTCACAGGTCGGCGCAACATCGAGGGCCGAAGGGCCTGTACTGCACTGTAATATTCTATGTTCTATAAAGGCTGGTCCTTCCACACTTCACTTCAGCTCTGATGATGCGTCATATAGACTCGAAATATTAAGTTGCTCTCTCTTATAGACGCTGTCTGACCTGTTATGATCTCCAGCATTTGTTGTTTTCCATATAGTTTCCAGCATCTGCAGTAATTTGTTCCTGAACAAATCCTTACTGACAGTGAATAATCTGTCTTTCTACATTAAGATTTATCCTTTTCCTCAGAATTCTTTCCAATAATTTCCCACCAAGATTAGGGTTCCTGTTCTGTAATTACTCAACCTACAACCTTCTGTTTTTTAAAGCCATGGTACAACATGAGCTGTTCACCAGTCCGCTGGCACCTCATCCAGAGGCAGAGGGAGCTTCCACTGTCCCTTCTTCAGCTTCCTTTAAAATTCTAAAAAATATATTTCATCCAGGACTGGGAGTAAATTCAAATATATTAAATCCTTCAACACCTCCTGTTTCATTGTTAATATTATATTGTCCCTGGTTTTAGTGGAAACAGACAAGTTATGGACTATGAGCTCTACACTGCTTCTGACTCCACACAAAGATCATGGTCTTTAATAGATCATAGAATCATACAGTACAGAATATGCCCTTTAGCCCATCAAATCTGTACCACCAAAAATACACAGCCAGTGGCCCCACTTTCCACATTAGAATCATAGAATCCCTTACAGTATAGAAAGAGGCCATTCAGCCCACTGAGTCTACACAAACTCTCTGCAGAGCATCCCACTCAGACCCATCCCACCCTATCCCCATAACCCTGTATTTACCATGGCTAATCCACCTAGCCTGTACATCCCTGGCCATTATGGGACAATTTAGCATGGCCAATCTAGCTAAACTGCATTTCTTTGAACTGTGTCCAGTGTCTTGAATGTTATGACACTTAAAGTGCTCAACCAAGTACTTTTTAAAGGTCCTACTCTTTCCAATATCTATCTCTTCTTCAATATGGATTCCCACAAATAAAACCCAGATTACCTCTAATTTACATGCCAAATGGTTTCTGTAGTATTACAGTATTTGTTACATGCGAGTCTCCTTTTCCAAATTACTCTCTCTTTTAAATCAAGGCATCTACAGGTCACTGGATATATTCACCCCCTTATCCTTGTTCTCTCAGGGAACTAGCTCTTAACATTTTTCATCTCTTTCTTGAGTTGCTCCCTCTGCTCTGGCTCAAAAAGCTGGTGGACAATTAAACAACTCACTGGAGGAGCCCAGCAAATTCATGCAAAGGATTAGGCTGAAGCATTCACAACATCCTTCAGCCAGAAATGTCATGTGTAAGATCCAACTCGGCCTCCTCTAGAGGTCCCCAGCATCGCATGATAGTCATCAGCCAATTCATTTCACTCCACATGATATCAAGAAACAGTTTGAGGCACTGGAAAGGCCAAGATTCCAGCAAAAGAACTGAATACTTCTGTTCCAGAACTTGCCGCATCCCCAGCTCAGCTGCTGCAGTCCAGCAACAACAACAGCATCTACAGAATATGGAAAACTGCCTGGCTACATTCTGTTCAAAAAAGCAGGTCAATCAGGGGAGAAAGTGGGGGGAGGGGACAGGGAAAGAGAGATAGAGAAAAAAAAACAGCGAGTGTGCCTTTGCAGCTCCAAGGGGTCATGAACGATAAAAGTCGGGGGGGGAGTGCAAAAAAAAATTAACGGTGGCTCAGTGGTTACCACTGCTGCCTCACAGCACCAGGGACCCAGCTTCGATTCCACTCTCGGGCAAGTGTCTGTGTGGAGTTTGCACATTCTTCCCATGTCTGCTTGGGTTTCGTCCGGGTGCTCCAGTTTCCTCCTACAGTCCAAAGATGTGCAGGCTAGGTGGATTGGCCCTAAATTGGCCATAGTATTCAGGTGGGTTATAGGGGGATGGGTCTGGGTGGGATGCTCTGGGGGTCGGTGTGGACTTGTTGAGCTGAAGGGCCTGTTTCCACACTGTGGGGATTCTATGTTGATTTCTGTGAAATCTAACCCTGCTCCATCAGACTACTCTCAATCATCAGCAAGTGATGAAAGGAATGATCAACAGTGTAATTAATCAGTACCTGCTTAGTAATGCTCACTGAGGTTCAACTTGGTTTCTGTCAAATCTAATCAGCTCTTGACCTCATTATAGCCTTGGTTCAAATCTGGGCAAAAGAACCAAATTCCAGGGGTGAGGCGAGAGTGACATCCTTGACATCAAGGTTGCATTTGACTGAATGTGGCATCAAGGAATCCTGGCAAAACTGGGGTCAACGAGAATCAGAGGGAGAACCTTCTGTTGATTGGAGTCATATCTAGTACAAATGAATATGGCTGTGGTTGTTGGAGGTCAGTCTTCTGAGATCCAGGACATCTTTACAAAAGTTCCTCAGAGTTGTTTCCTAGGCCCAACAATTTGTAGTTGCTTCATCAATGACCTTTCCTCCATCATAAAGTCAGAAACGTTTGCTGATGCCTGCAGGCTATTCAGCGTCATTGACTAATTCTCAGATATTGAACCCATCATGTCCAAATGCAGCAAGATCTGGACAACATCTAGGATTCTGTTGACAAGTGGCAGGTAACATTCATGGCACACAAGTGCCAGGCAATGACTATCTCAAACAAGGGAGTATCAGCTCACCACCACCTTCTCAAGGGCAACCAGGGATGGGTAATAAATGCTGGTTAGCCCGTGATGCCCAGATCCCATGAGTGAATTTTAAAAAAACTACCCAACATCCCTTAACTGCCCTCATCAGAATGGTCGGCACCTGTTTAATAATGCTCTTTACCCTGGTATTAGTGAGACAACACACTCCACAGTACCAACAAGGGGGGCTGTACAAACACCCACTTGAATCATATTCACTATAAATTCTAGAAACACTTCATTTTTATATTTTGTTGGGACCCCATGCTGAAAATGCCCTTCAGTGATATATATGTGCTTGCAGTTGTAGTCCTCAGAGATGCTCTCAATTGAGCGGCAAGATGGCTCAGTGGTTAGCACTGCTGCCTCACAGAACCAGGGACCTGGGTTCAATTCCGCCCGCAGGCGACAGTCTGTGTGGAGTTTGCACATTCTCCCTGTGTCTGTGTGGGTTTCCTCCTGGTGCTTCAGTTTCCTCCCAAAGTCCAAAGATGTGTGCACAGGCTATAGGAAATTGCCCGTAGTGTTCAGGGATGTATAGATGAGGTGGGTTGTAGGAGGATGAGTCTGGGTGGGATGGTCTGAGGGTCAGTATGGACTTGTTGGGCTGAAGGGCCTGTTTCCACACTGTAGGGATTCTATGCTTTACTGAAAGGCTCTAATGAATGGTCACAGACCATATGCTTTTAGTGATTTTATTTCCTTAATAGTAAATTAAGGATAAGCATTAATTGCCAGGTTTCTTCTCTGGAATGTGTGCTTTCTTGAACAACACCTTCAAAATACATGTTAACTAGAAGCACAATGTCAACGTGACGAATTAAAAAATGCCTTTAGTTTAGTAAACCCCACAGTTGGTTAAACACTATAGACATCGTGTTTATCGTGCTGCCACTCTAAATCTCAGAGTAGCATCTTCTAATCATTCTCCAGCAAATACTGGTGAAAATTCATCACTTGCATATGGGGGCACTATCATAAATGTGTCTGAGGATACTACTAGATCGTTAGTGGCATGATAGCTACATCAAAGGACCTAAATCAATACTGTTACATGATATTTTCCCTGAACTCTTTAGGGGAATGGTACAGAATTACCCTATAACAGTCTCAATCTTATTCTACATTCCTTCCCTACAGTTCACACAATGTTGAGGTGGAATTCACATTGGATTGGGAGATACATGTGGTCAGTTTTATTTTCCTGGAAATTATAGTATGATCTCAGCCTTTCCTTCAGAAATAGCATTGGACAAGGTTGTAAACCTTACCCTATTGGCCTTGAAACAACTATTTCAACTTGAAGTTCTGATTTTGACTCTAAAATTATATTGTAAACTTCTTCATTTGTAGCTCCTGGTAAGGGTTTACCATTCCACTCAAGAACCTCATCACCTAGAAAAGAAAATTACATATGTAACAACTTTTCTGAAAAAGTAACTTTTCACTAAAAATGACAAATTCTGATACTTCACAATTTATACAGAAATATAATAATTGATGCATTTTACCATCGATATCTTACAGCATGCACCATGTATGAGTTTTATTATCTGCGCATACAAGAACTATGGAAGTACGAAATAACCTGCTGATTTCCTTATTGTCATTGAAAAAAACTAAATTCAAAGGGCAGAACATCAAGTACTTGGAAATGTCCAATGTAAAATAAAAGACAGTAGAGCAATTTTGTTGCTGAACGATGAAGAAATGCTGCTAAGTGTGCTCACTAAGAGTTACTGTCATACACTACTGAAACAGACCTTTCAATCCAACTCATCCGTGCCAACAAACATCCCAAACATTCAGTCCAAGATCTAAATGGATGAATCACTTCCATCTCTCAATGTATCCCTCTTAATATGACCACTGGCACATAATTGGCATTAATTGGCACATAAACCCCAAGTACCCATTTTTAATTTGATTATTCCATCACACTCCTGACTGGCCTCCCACTTTCCTATCTATCAATGTGGAGCTGTCCAGTACTCACCAATGCATGTCCTGAATCACACCAGGACCCATTCACCCAATGTGTTCACTGATCGGCAATGGCTTCTGGCCATGAAACATCTCAGTTGTAAAATTCTAATCCTTATTTTCAAATCCCTCCATGGCTTTGTGTCCTCCCTAACTCTGTGATTTCCTCCAGTTTCAATCCTCCACATAGGAGGAACAATTTAGTTTCTTTGTGATTTGGCCAGAGTAATCCTTTGTGATACCACTTCTCTTCATTGTCACATATTTGTTACATACTGAAATCCTTACTTAGTTCTTTTAAAGCATACGGTTATTCATTTCCCTGCTCTCATTCTGTAACATCACCTGCCTATACCGCTGCCTTAACAGAAAATAAAAAATGCTGGAGATCACAGTGGATCAGGCAGCATCCATGGAAGAAAGCAAGCTAACATTTTGAGTCTGGATGACTCTTCCAGACTTGAAATGCTAGCTTGCTTTCTCTCCAGGGATGCTGCCTGACCCACTGTGATCGCCAGCATTTTTTGTTTCAGTGCAGATTCCAGCGTCTGCAATAATTTGCTCCTATACCACTGCCTTAGCTGCTCTAATGATGGAACTCTCAGCCATGTCTTTGTCATCTCTCGACTCAACAATTCTATTACATTCCTGGTCGGCTTCCAACTGTCTTCTCAACTTATGTCTCAGTTCACCCCACATCAATTTTCACTCAACTTCACACCTGTCCACTTACACCAATTTAAAGTCTCATTTTCCTATTTGTCTTTATTCCTTCACATGCTCTGTAACACCCCCATGCTCTATTACACAGCCCACTTCATCCTTCTGCTATCGAAGCCTCACGGTCTGAATTTCTTCTGATCTCTCTGCCTCTCTTCAATGAAGGTGTCCTTAAATGCCAATTCTAATCCAAATCCATGCAAACCTAAAGCTCCCCATTTGCTTCTACTCCTATAACCAATCTTTAAATTACACTGATGTTACCTGGCACAAATTGCCCTTGTCTTATGGATTATCACATGGAAATTTACAAAATGGTTTTTGCAGTTTTAAATATTTATTAGTCCTCCTTTGTGTAAACTGTTAGATATATTTTCACAAAATCTCTAACAGGTTTGTCAAAAACAATTTCACTTTTATAAAACCATGCTGGCTCTGCTTAATCATGTCATGATTTTCTGTGTGTACAGTTACCACTTCCTGATCATTTTTCTAATAGCAGGCTAATTGGCCTGTGGCTCCTGGTTTTTGCTCTGCCTCCTTTATTGAGTAGCAGTTTTATATTCACCCCCTTTCAATCCACTGGGAACATTCCAGAAAGTTAGTTTAAGGCCAAGGCTTAAGGCATATCATATGTGGATAAATTAATCCTACAGTGCCCAACATGCAGGTGTAAATACAGAGTAATTACTTACCAGCTCTTAAGTGGCCAACAATATCAGCTAGGCTGCCTTTTTTCACTTTGGTGATAAAGGCCCCAAGCCGTCCAGTTTCTGTTATCTTTCCACCAACCACCTGGATAACAAAAGTGCCACAGTAACTCTCAGCTAGAAACTGATCACTGCTTAAATGTGCTTTAAGGGAAATTTCATTCATACACAACGGCTGTTCCACAATCATCATGTTACTGTGTACAGTATGGGTGCTGTGTATGTAACCAATAACAGAGTCATATTTTGGTCACTGCTCTAAGGTGTAAAAACAGCAACATGAAGAAATTTCCCTATGATTTAGTTTATTAGTGCATAATCTAATGTGGCACTCAGATAGCCAAAGCAGTGGAGCTCCAGGATTGATTCCCAATCTGTGTTGAGCTGATTGATCACAGTAAGTGAAATCACATTGAATCATCGAATTGTTACGGTGCAGAAAGAGTTCATTTGGCCTATTGTTCCTGCACCAGTTTTGTTCTGAGTGCCAATCTTCTGCCTTTTCCCAATATCCCTGCGCACCATTATCATCCAAAGAACTATCCAATGCCCTCTTGAATGCCTCTATTGAACAAGTCTCCACTACGTTTCTATGCAGTGCATTCCATTCACTAACCACTCAGTGTGTGAAAAGTTTTTTTCTCACATCACCCTCGTTTCATTCTACACCACTTTAAATCTATGCTCTTTCGTTTGGTTTATGAGCATCAACTTCTCCTTATCTACACTGTCCAGCCCACTCATGATTTTGAAACCCTTTTTCTGAAACTGGGAAGGAAAAGTAAGTGAGGTAGATTTTTCACTTCTACGGGCAAGCTTTCCGTTTTTGGATCTCTAAGCACTAATTTTCATTTTTTGAGATTGTTAATGCTCTCCAATTCACAATGCCAATATTACTGCTGGGAGAAATATTTCATTACATTGAAATTATTCTTACAGTCTTAAACTGGCCACCACATGTTCCCTCAGAGAATGCCTAGTTCACACTTCTCAAATAATTCAGCAGCTGCAACAGATACAGAAACGATTGAGTAATTTGATTGACTTAACAAGTTTAAACCAGGCCTGTGATTTTCCTCAATACAATCTGAATTGAATTATCCAAAGATTCAAATTGAGTCTCTGTGTTGCCAGGAGTAAGTAATGTCTGAAACTGTGCACAATCTACGAATGGCTTTCGTAGACCATGTTCATTACACATCCATGACGTCTATACTGCGTCTTTTACAATTTGTTAATAACGCAGTGTTTCTAGCACACAAGTGACACACAAGTTCATGGAACCCAGCAAACACTCTGCACAGAATGTATTGACAGCAATTTAGAATCCATCCGTCTTACTGATGGGTTGTGCACATATACCATGTTAAAGAACTCAGAGATACTAAGAACTGCCAATGCTGGAGTCAGAGATAACATGTTTACATGTCTACCATGTTAAAGAACTCACTTTCAACCCAAGCAGTGCTCCCGATTCTTTTGGCATGCTTGTTCTCTTGTTTAAAATAATACGCCCGATTAGTCGATCACCTTCTTTGGATGGTTGCCATGTGACAGGATGCTGTCAATTAAAAGACATTGATTCAGTCATATTAATCAGAAACCAAAAACAGAGAGACAAATTATCTTGTCTTCAGATCCTGACGCAGTCCATGTCCGGGCTAGTAAATGGCAACTAACATTCATGCCACACAATGTCCAGGCAATGACCATCTCCAACAAAGAGAAGCTAATTCCTTGTAACTTCCAACAATAATATCACAACTGAATTCCCTACCATCAAAAGGATCATCACTGACCAGAAACTTAACTGATCCAGTTGAGGCTACAAGAGCAGGTCAAAAGCTGGGAATCCTGCAGCAAGTAACTCACCCCCTGACTCTCCAACCTCTGCCCACCATTTACAAGGCTGAAGTCAGGAGTGTGATGGAATTGTCTCCACTTGCTTTGGTGAGTGCGACTCCAACAACTCTTAAGAAGCTCGACACAATCCATCAACTCGCTGATAGTGTTATGAAGTTGGATAAAGTACTTGTGGATTGGGAGGCAAGAAGTTAGAATTTGGTGTTTGTAAAATGCTAGGGGGGAAAAGCATTGTGTGATTCCTTTAGAAGATCATGTGCTTTTTCTGTGCTTAGAGATTTAAGATGGATGTCTGTGAGCAGTAGCTTGAAAGCCTGCAAGTACACAGAGAGTGCCCAAATTGAAACATTTGTATTGAAAGGCCGTACAGTTAGCAGGCCAAGCAGCAGTTTTTTTTTAAACCAAGACAACAGGCTTTTGAATTTAGCCAATCAATTTGAACCAGGTACTTAGATACCAAAAACCTATTAAATTTAAGTCTGATAGTTTTAACAACATAGGATCAATCCTATTGTAAGAAATATTGATATGTCATCAAGGGTATAAAAAGAAGGGGGCAGTCGGACAAAGACTCCAGAGCTAGCCGCCATCTGCCAATGCTAATGGCCCTCAGCTCTCAAGAGAGAATCGCTGGCTCTCACAGCCTCCTCTACATCTTAGACAGAGCACCTTCTAAATAACAATGGTATCAAAGGCACAAATAGTTAATATTCCTGACAGAAGAATCAATGGAGAAGGCATAGAACATTCTGGAAGACATGTAACCTGGCTGTAATTTTGAGAGACTAAATTCTTTTTTTTAATGTAAGTGGGACTTGTATTGATTGAAAGAGCATACCATTAAAACTTGTTTTATTCGGGAATAGTTAGTAGTTAGAAGGCGTTTATTGGGTTTGTTAATAGTTTGGTTAATTTGTTCACTGTTAAGAGTTTGATAAATAAATTGTTACTTGTTGATTTTAAAGTGATTGTCAGGGATTTATTTTATTTAACCACTAGAAGTTGCTGAAAAGCAGGTTACACTATCTTTCACACTCCTTTTACAGATTATAGGGCAGGGTGCTCCTCTTTGGGTATATTGGTTTTAGCTCTCAGAGGGGGGACAACCTCACTTTATAAGAACAGGAGTCACCATTCGTCACCTTCATCATTCAGTCCCTCTACCACCCACACATTTATAGCTGTGTGAACTGCCTATAAGTTGCACTGCACTGGAGTCTGCAATCTCTACCATCTTAAAGGACGAAGGAGGTGTATACATGGCAGCATCCAACTGCCATCCAGTTCCCCTCCAAGCTGCTCACTATCCTGACTCGTAAATCATAGAATTATACAATATAGACAGGCCCTTGGCCCATTACATCTACTTGGACAAAAAGCTGCTCCAATCTAGAAGGTAGCATTTTACATTAATTAGTCGATGTTATAATATTTCAAAAGCTCGTCCAAATACTATTCTAAATTTGTGAGATTACCAACTTCAACAACCCTCCTGAGTATGCATTTTAAGTCCCAACACCCTCTGGGCGAAAACAAACCTTTCTTCAATCCCCTCTAAACTGCCTGGTTTTCACCTTAAAATTAGGCCCCTTTAACTAAGGAGAACAGCTCCTTTCCATTCACTCTGTCAATGCCCTTCATAATTTTATACACCTCAATCAAGTACCCCCTCAATCTTCTCTGCTCCAAAGAAAACAACCTGAGCTGGTCCAGCCACTCTATTCATCTCTAAACTGCTCCATCCCAGGCATCCTGGTGAATCTCCTTTGCATCCCCTTCAATGTCGCCTGGTCAAAACCCTGGATATACCAAGGACTGCAACAGTTCAAGAAGACAGCTCATCATCACTTTCTCAAGGCTAATAAGGCATGACAATAAATGATAGCCTCGCCAGTAACACACAAAGTGTATTTGCTAATAAGCTTCATTTTCAATCTCAACGTTCATAAACTCACTGCTCAATCATTTATTGTCACGCCTTATTAGCCTTGAGAAAGTGCTGGTGAGTTGCCTTCTTGAACTGCTGTAGTACTTGTTATAAAGGTACACACACTGTTGTTAACAGCGGAGTTCCAGGGTTTTGATCAGGCAACATTGAAGGGGATGCAAAGGAGATCCGTGCATCTCAGCAGTCCAGGCTAATGCAAACTCATACACATACAAAGAACACTGTTCAGTCTCAGTACTCTCACCACCCCTGGCCAATAGCCCTCACACATATACACACATACACTAGAACACGACTCAATCTTAGTACATTCCAGATAGTAATGTCACTGACTATATTCAGATTACAACGCATTGCTGACAGTGTTTTGTGCATTCCTGAATTATTGAATGTGTAAAAGAATCCTGATAACAATGTTTGCTGAGAATTAGTCTAATTTGAAGCTGTTGTGTTCTTTAATGTTAGCCCTTATTGTTAGTAAGAGCATTCCAACTTTAGTGATGATTAAAAAATGTATGTTTTCTTACCGAGCTGATAGGTAAGGTCTCACTGCTATGCCACGTAACTGGATCCAACCAATAGTAATCTAAATCACCTTGGAAGGGAAATAGTACAGCTGTAAAGTATAGTCAGAACATCATCATTTATTAATAAACAAGAACATCTCAAAATGTCTCTAATTCTTTGATTAATCGACCTTACTCTAATCTGTTCTGAAGAAGTTACAACAGACTCAAACTGTTAACTTTGTTTCTCTTTCTGCAGATGCTGCCAGGCCTGCTGAGTTTCTGCAGAATGTTATGTTTTTATTACGTTCAATTGTCTTTGCAGCACAGTTTTCAATCCCTCTCAATTCTGCTCCCTTCCTACATTTTTTTTCTCCAATTCTCTAATACTTTAAGGAAATAATTCTCTTCTGGCTCACCTTCTTTCTCATAGCTTTAGACACTCTTAAGTTGTGCCACAACTTTCAGCAATGAATGCCATAAGTCTGCAATGACATTGCATACTTGCAACTTGTTTTAAAGTTTCCTGTAACTGTCTAATGATAAATGCCTGTTTAATTCTGATGTTAAGTGGTGCCCAGTGTTACTTTGGAGATAATAAAGCAAAATATTATAAATGAATTTATTTCACATTGTACTTAGAAGAACAGACCCTTTCTCAGCAATGGTTAACACGTTAAATCCCTCCTAGTTGAATATGCACCTACAATTTATTCAAACTTATGAAGGACAAAGAACAGTACAGAACAAGAACAGGCCCTTTGGCCCAACAAGACTGTGCCAACACATGATGCCTTTCTAAATTAAAAACCTTTTGCCTCTGTACTGTCATATCCCTCTACTCCATGCCTATTCATGTATCTGTCAAGATGCCTCTGAAACGTTGCTATTGTATCCGCCTCCACCGCCTTCTCTGGCAGTGCATTTCAGGCACTTACCACACACTGTGTAAAAGCAAAACATGCCTTACACTTCTGATGCTTATATAAGGTTGTGCCAGATACACTAACCTGTCCTTCATCCCTCATATCTTATTCAGTCCCTGATTTCTTACTCCTGGTTTAATTATCTTATAGCTTCCTTTAGCCTGTAATGCCTTGAATACAATTTCAGACTATTACACCACTGCCCCCACTTCCTAGGTGTCCCTAGCAATTGGAACGGTGCCTGCACCATTGTGGATCAGGGACTTGGGGTTCTGAGATCTGGAGTAGTTTTTCCTCCTCACCTTTTGGCTCTGTTAAAATCTTTTAATTCTGGTTTATGTAACCAAGTGGGCGCCAGTCAATGGTGACTTTATGTACTTTTTGGTGTACTTTTGTGTTCCTATACTTAGTATATGTGACAAATAAATAAGTCTAAATAAATCTAAATGAACCAATCAGAAATTGCTATATAACCCTGGTACAGGTGATTTGTAACTACCCCCTGAATGGTGCAGCAAGCTACTCAGTCAGACCATTAATGAATAGCTAAGTAATAAAAGAAAATGGGAGATGGACCACCCAGCAGTGACCTCAACACCAGAAACGACAATGGTATATCCTGTATAGTTGATGCTGCAAACCGTACCCTTCCAGCAACTGCAGAGCTGTGCCAAAGTTTGGAGAGGTGTCACGCAACAGCCTGACATAGCTGAACTTAATCTCACCAGGTCATAGCTTACAGCCAATGTCCCAGATTCCCCAGACACTCTCCACTGTCCCACCAGCAGGACATATTCACCAGAGTTTGTGACACGGGCATACAGAGCCAGGACACAGTGGCCCTGCGATTCCATAATGTTGATTCTGAACCCCATAAGTCTCAAGGCATCAGAACAAACATGGGTAGGGAAATCTGTTTTTCTTTATTAAAGCCCATGCCTGGGTGTGATAAATCCTAGATGGCTGAGGAAAGTAAAGATGAAAGTTGCAAAAGCTCAAACAAGAACTTTCACTTGATATGGGTGTCATGCCAGATGTCTGGAGCACGACAGAACTTTGAAGTCATAGCATCGTAATGGTACAGCAAGATGCCCATTTGGTTCATTGCATCCAGTGCTAGCTCTCTGCAGAGCAATCCAGTCAGTCACTTAATTCACGTGAGCATAGAACATAGAACATAGAACAGTACAGCACAGGACAGTACAGGCTCTTTGGCCCACGATGTTGTGCCGAACTTTTACCCTAAATCTAAGGTCTACCTAACCTCCACCCCTACCTTATACTATCATCCATATGCCTACCTAATAGCCGCTTAAATGCCCCGAATGAGGCCAACTCCATTACCCTCGCCGGCATCATTCATAATTGTTGAAATTAGCTTTTAGGCAGACAGCTAAATGCACTGGCATGTCCCATGATTGGCACACATTGATAGTTATGGGTGGGGGCGGGGTTCCTTCATTAAGGAAGGAACAATGTTGCGTCATTGCAATCACTCTTTATTGTATGTTTGTGTTGGTCTTTAGTGTTACTATTCACTCCATGGGACATAGCCGTGGCTACAGGCTTAGCTGTCCCTAACTGCTCTAAATTATAAGGCTAGAGGAGGTGGATGTTAGGCTAGAGGAGTTGGATGTTAGTAAGGAAGATGTACTAGGAATTTTGAGGAACTTGAAGATAGATAAGTCGCTCAGGCCTGATGGGATTTATCCAGGGATTCTATGGGAAGCGAGGGAAGAGATCGCAGGGCCTTTGGCGATGATCTTTTCGTCCTCACTGTCCACGGATATAGTGCCGGAAGATTGGAGAGTGACAAATGTCATTCCCTTGTTCAACCCTGGAAATTACAGGCCAGTTAGTCTTACTTCAGTGGTGGGCAAATTATTGGAAAGGGCTCTGAGAGATGGGATTTATGATCACTTGGATAGGCACAGTTTGATTCATGACAGTCAACATGGATTTGTGAGGGGTAGATCATGCCTCACAAGCCTTATTGAATTCTTTGAAGAGGTGACCAAATATGTGGATGAAGGGAAAGCAGTGGATGTGGTATACACGGATTTAAGTAAGGCGTTTGATAGGGGTTCCCCATGGTAGGCTCATGCAGGAAGTAAGGAAGCATGGGATAGGGGGAAATGTGGCAGATTGGATTCAGAATTGGCTGACCCTTAGAAGACCCTTAGGTGGTAGTGGACGGAAAATATTCAACATGGTGCTCGGTTACGAGTGGTGTACCACAAGGATCTGTTCTGGGTCCTCTTCTATTTGTGATTTTTGTAAATGATTTGGATGTAGGAGTGGAAGGGTGGATTAATAAGTTCACGGACGATACGAAGGTGGGTCGAGTTGTGGATAGTGAGGAGGGCTGTTCTAGGTTACAAAGGGACATTGATAGGATGCAGAGCTGGGCTGAGAAGTGGCAGATGGAGTTTAACCCTGAAAAGTGTGAAGTGATTCATTTTGGAAGGACAAATTTGAAAGTAGAATACAGGGTTAACAGGAAGATTCTTGGCAGTGTGGAGGAGCAGAGGGATCTCGGGGTTCATCTCCACAGTTCCCTGAAATCTGCCACCCAGGTGGACAGAGTTGTTAAAAAGGCGTATGGTGTGTTAGCTTTCATTAATAAAGGGATTGAGTTCAAGACCCTTGAAGTTATGCTCCAGCTATACAAACCCCTAGTTCGGCCACGTCTGGAGTATTGTGTCCAGTTCTGATCACATCATTACAGGAAAGATGTGGAAGGATTGGAAAAGTTGCAAAGAAGATTTACCAGGATGTTGCCTGGAATGGAGGGAAGGTCTTATGAGGAAAGGTTGAGAGAGCTAGGGCTTTTCTCTTCAGAACGGCGAAGGATGAGAGGTGACTTGATAGAGGTGTACAAAATGATCATAGATATAGATAGAGTGGAATGCCAGAGACTTTTTCCTCAGGTGGAGGTAGCTATTATGAGGGGGCATAGTTTTAAAGTGGGTGGAGGTAGATATAGGGGAGACGTCAGAGGTAAGTTCTTTACTCAGAGAGTGGTAGGGGCGTGGAATGCATTGCCGGAGAGGGTAGTGGAGTCGGCCTCATTGGGGGCACTTAAGCGGCAATTAGATAGGCATATGGATGATAATATAAGGTACAGGTGGAGGTTAGATAGACCTTAGGTTTAGGGTAAAAGTTCCGCACAACATTGTGGGCTGAAGAGCCTGGACTGTGCTGTACTGTTCTATGTTCTATAAGGCACATTGTTTTCAGATCACATTAAGTAGGTAATTGAATAAGCAGGTAATAAGGACTCGGCTAGCCAACACCCGGAGTGGATACACAAATGGACAGTAATGACATAGCCAGATAGGCCTTTTATTTTCTTACGTTGACTGTCACCAACTACCATGATATCAAGCTCTCCCCAAATTAGTTTGATGCCCCTTACTAAACCCTCTGTTCTCCTTTGAGTCTCTCTTCCTCTCCTCCATGTACTGACCAGACCCTTCCCCCACACAGATTTTCTCTTGCCAGTCCCGGTCCTCTGCAAAAGCTGCCATTCTCCAGTGGCTGTTCTTTGTGCTACACAGTTAAAGAGGAAAGAGGCTGAGAGACACCCAGCAACCGGGGAGGCCACAACATTCTCATGCACCACTAACTATCTTGGAGGTAGGACTGTAATTATAAGTATTGCATGTTTGACTAGCAATTTTTTTTTTTTTTTAAGTACAAACCTACTACAGGCCAGCGGAAAGCTCAATCTTCTACAAGCACATCACTAACTGCCCTCTTTTCTCAGAGAGGATAGCAGTAATATGAAAGACCAGCAAAGCAGAGAAGTTTAAAGGGGCATTCAAAACCATAAAGGATTTTGACTGAGTAAATGAGAAGAAAATACCCACAACAGCAGAAGAGTTATTAACTACTGGGCACAGATTTAAGGTGATTGACAAAGAACCAATGGGCAGATGAAGAAAAGAGATATGATTCAGCATGTTACTCTGACAGGGGATACACTAACTGATGGCTGGCTGAAGCAGATTTCAGTGCAACCTTCAATCAGCAACTGGATTAAAAGGAGACATGAGATAGCTTTGGTAAATAGGGTTAAGGAGAATCCAAAGGGATACTACAAACACATTGATGACAAAAGAGTAACTGGGGAGAGAATAGGGCTCCTTAAAGATCAGCAAGGCCACCTGTGTGTGGAACCA